TTTTACCGTCGCTAAAAATGCTATTTGAGACGGCAAAAAATACCGTCGCTAATAGTCTTTTTTTTGCAACGGCAAAAACACTGTTTTTGCGACGGTGTGGTGCCGTCGCAAAAAGTATTAAAAATATAAAAAAAATTATTTTTTTGCGATAGTGGAATGTCGTCGCAAAAAGTAATAAAAAAATAAAAAAATTTCTATTTTAAATAATAAAATTTCTATTTTTTGCGACAGGTTAATGTCGTCACAAAAAGTAAAACCTGTAACAAAATCAATAAAAATAATAAAATTTTCTATTTTTTGCGACAATGTAGTACCGTCACAAAAAAGAAAAAAAAATCCTCCGATAGAATTATTAAAATTTCTCCATAATAATTACATGATAATATAAAAGTTCCTGTATAAAAATAACAATTTCTTCATAATAAAATATTCTTCCATTCATAATTACACATCAACAAAATTATCCCACTACATAATGTTCCATAATTATCCTCCGATAAAATTTAAAAATATAAAAGAAATGAAAAAAATAAACACAATATAAATGAATATAAATTACTTTTTTCTCCATTTATAAATTCACGATTCAAACAAAGCAAGAGTTCACAAAGGTAACCAATGATCACTTCTGTTACTTAACTCAGTTTTAATAAAAAGACTGACAATGTTCCCACAAATTCTTCATTCCACTTACAGTTTTGATCTTAAAATTTTCACCTCATCCCACAAAATCTTTCCTTTTTGAGTCGCACAATCTCACATATTCAATTCACCTGCAAGCTTGAAGGAGGGTCGAATGTTTCATCACCACAATACAAATCTGTACTATGAAAATTGGTTACAAAATATTCAACCCTCAGTTTTCCGCAAGGTTGAAATATGGAGGGAAACAATGAAAGAAAGAAATGGCAAACCCTACATTCTTATGTGGGATGCCAATGTGATGAAATGAATAACATATCTACTCTTCCTAAAGATGTAATTCTTTCAAGTTATAGTCTGTACAATAGCTTATACAAATTTTATACCAGGTCGAAGAGGTTTCAGAGGGCCTTCTGATCCAGTCTTTCGTTCCAATTCAAGCATTGAATCAAGCTGTAAAACCAATCGCCCGTTTGGTCAGACTTGTTCACTGTTGGAAGTGGATGCTGGCTCATTGATATCCGAACCGAATCACCTCTTGAGAGTTGTTGCCTTCTCTTTCCATCAAATGAGACCCATGCATTGCTTCTTGCATCCTCAGGGATCTGTGCAATATGAGAAATTTTTAGAAAATCCCTAATTGAGGATATTATTGACAAAAATATGATCACTGAGTCACTAACACAATAAAAATATGTTTCCAAGTTGAGAAAAAATTAAAGAAAGAGAACTTCTGCTGGAGACACAATTTATCAAGAAGTTGCCAGAAAGAATAAGAACAAAAGGACAGGGTTTCGGTTCTGATATTTATGCAGAAGAAAAACCAACTTGATTATATTTTTTTTTTCATTTTTTGCTTTTTGTTGTCGTTGTTGTCAATAATGATTGTCCAGATATGAAAATTAGTTCATCCTCAGGGATCTGTTGTTTTTTTCTACACCAATAGTCCTTGTTAAGTACAAGAACATAGATTCAGCAATCAAGAACAGAAGCCATTCTTTACTTTTTCCAATTGCATATTGCTCCAATTAGAATAACAAAGAATTAATATAGGTCATATGACACATAAGCTAAGCATCTATCACTCAAAATATGCAAGTACATAAATGCCTCTCAAAGAACACCTTCTTTGGTTTCAAAATACACCTGGGTAAAAAAGCTGACAATTCTCTAAGGAAGTTCAAACAGATACTTTAGCTACATAGCAGGAAAATAAAAGGTTCTGGAAGCAAACCTGCGTTCCACGTCGTAGTAACTCTCTTGCAAATGGCAATATACCCAAAATCGTATCTGCACCAGAATTGTCAACAAAAATGACAACCTACCACCAAAAAAAATGAGCTGGTTAGTGTAGGCAAAAAAAACATATTTCTTTTTAAATGACAGTCATAGTAAAAAACAACTTGCATATGGAGCTTGCCTTTTTCCAAGATTTTCTGCCCCATTTTAATATAAAAGCATCCAAATCATCAATCACCCATGGTCGAGGGACAAGATTTTGAGTTTATATGGTTTTTAGGAGGTTTATATGGTTTTTAGGAGTCAAAGTCCTTAGTTTCTGCACACAGGAGTAATAGTTCTCCTGGAATTAGGAGTTTTCGTAAAGATTATATATAAAGATATGTGATGCTTTTAATTCAATAGACAACATCATATAGAGAATTTATAAAACCTTTATGTTTTTATGGGATTTTGTAGTGCAATTTTAAGCCTTTCAAAGCTTAATTCGGATCTGTCCAACCTTTATATCTGGGGTAAATGACAACAGCAGTCCTTGTAGTTTGGTCCTTCTGTCATTTTGGATCCTATAATTTGCACATATATCTAAGAATCATAAAATCATTTAGTAAGGTCAAAGAAGATTACCTCAGTTCTGCCCTGAAGGATGGGGCTCCCGAGGAGTAGTTCAACAAATACACAGCCAACACTCCAGAGATCCACTGAGGCTCCATAATCCGTGGAACCCAACAAAAGTTCAGGAGGACGGTACCATAAAGTGATGAAATGAGTTGGTTAGAGGTTGTCTGTGCCCCACAGGGCCAGTACCACAGAAGTTTGCCAATCCAAAATCAGCCATCTTCAAAACTCCTTCATTATTTACCAGAAGATTTGCACCTTTAATGTCCCTATGCATTGTACCCCGAGAGTGGCAGTGCTCAAGCCCAGATAACAACTGTTTCATGTAGCATTTAACCTACAAAACATAATCAATTTCAGTTGAATCTTACAATCAGTTGAATCAGTAATTAGTTAGTCATATGGATGAAAAAATGATGTTATCATCTCTTTTACACTAAAATGTATATTTCCCATTGTTTATCTTTGTGTCTTTACACCATTTGCATTAATTCTAGTCCCTTTAGCCCTATTAAAAGGAAGCTTGGTGTAATTAAGCCAAAACTATGGAACATACTGTATTTTCTCCAAATCTTTGGGAGGTCACTATAATTTACCCTAGAAAATATTAACTCGTCCAGTAGAACGAAGGGGCAATTGAACACGAGAAATGAAAGTATTCCATTTCTTAGCATTTCAAAATAGAATGTGCATCTTTCAGTATTTGACATAGCAATTAACTGATTGTGCTTAGCATTCACTAACATTTCAAAATTTCAGGAAACTGAGTTTTCCTCACATTGTTATATTCTTATGCAGATGACTTTTACAAAGCAAATGACAAACCAAAATGTCCAATGCTACTGAAACCCAAATTAGGGTGTTTCATTGTGATGTGATAAGCACACACTAGTTATAAGTTTGCTGAATAAAAAAAAAAAATCAACATAAGCAAACCTGTGCTTCACTTAACTTGATGTCAGGGGAAGATAAGAGTCCAGAAATGTCATGTTCCATGTACTCGAATACAAGGTATATGCTACATGACAATCGGGAGGTAATTAAGCCCTCCAGTTTTATGATATTCGGATGGTCAAGCCTGCGTAGTATCATTATTTCTCGTGCCATAAACCGAACGCTTTCGGGCTCAAAATTATCAAATCGCACCTTCTTTAGAGCAACAATCCTCCCAGTTTCTAAGTTGCGTGCATGGAACACGCTGCTATAAGTGCCCTGTCCTACCTACTACATCAGTTGAAATTGTTTATTAAAAAGGAAAAATAAAGAAAAAAAAGAAAGTCAGAAAACCTGTTTAAACCTTTTAGAAGCAAACATAAAGATACATGTAAAAGAATAATCCGACAAAAGTGACTTTTTATTACATCAACCCTGGATACTTTGATAAAAGAAAAAGAAATTATTAAATTTATGCTCAAGTGAATGAGAAACATTTATAATGGGGGAAAAAAAGTAATAATCATCAAGTTAAAATGTAATTAGTAGTTCTAGAATAGTAACTGTATTAACTGTATCCCACCGATTAATGAAAAAAAGGCTTAAAGCATTAATGACTAAACAATCCAGGTGAATAAAAATTCTTCAGAAGGCATTATGAAGCCTTTGGAGTTGTGGAATTACTTACACTTTCAGAATATTCATAGAAGTGAATCACCATTGTAGCAATGTAAAAGAAAGAAGAAAATAGGGAACGGAAAAATGAATAAAACATGCAATTGCGATATAATGTCAAGATGAAACAAGTTATGATCAACAGTTTGTAAATTTGCTACCGAACCAAGATTTAAAACTACAAAAAAACATGAATAACACAATGACAACCCAATTTGGGAAAGAAAAAAGCCCCAAAAAATAAAAAAATTCGATATATCTGAAGCTCATATGCTGTTCCAATTTTAAGCCTTTCAAAGTTTAATTCGGATCTGTCCAACCTTTATATCTGGGGTAAATGACAACAGCAGTCCTTGTAGTTTGGTCCTTCTGTCATTTTGGATCCTATAATTTGCCCATATATCTAAGAATCATAAAATCATTTAGTAAGGTCAAAGAAGATTACCTCAGTTCTGCCCTGAAGGATGGGGCTCCCGAGGAGTAGTTCAGCAAATACACAGCCAACACTCCAGAGATCCACTGAGGCTCCATAATCCGTGGAACCCAACAAAAGTTCAGGAGGACGGTACCATAAAGTGATGAAATGAGTTGGTTAGAGGTTGTCTGTGCCCCACAGGGCCAGTACCACAGAAGTTTGCCAATCCAAAATCAGCCATCTTCAAAACTCCTTCATTATTTACCAGAAGATTTGCACCTTTAATGTCCCTATGCATTATACCCCGATATCTTTCTAATTACAAAAATACCACTATCCTTGCATCATTATAGAAAATACATTTTATAAGATTTCTTCTTCTTTTGATAGCCAAAATCCACCCTTACTCTTTCCAGGGTAAAAGCAAATAGCCCATATTAGGGCCTACAAGACTTGGAACCTAAGACACTTCCACATGTGTACCCATTGCCATGGTTCAACATTATTTGTAAAATTGCCTACAAATGTCACAGAACTATTTACCACAGCAAAGCCATTAATAAAAAAAACCACAACAAAAAAATAGAAGAAAGAAAATAGAAATAAGCCGGATGCTAGAAGCCTCATGAACCATAGAAATATACATAGATCATCCGTAGGACCTATGAAATGCACTATATACATTGCCGGGGAGAGAATTGGTCGATCTGAAAAGCTTAAAAAGAAGAAAAAGAGAAAATGAGAGGGAAACAAGTAGGTAGTGGATATTATAACCTAGAAAAAAACTGAATGCTTTGCTAGAAGAAAAGAATGAGCTATCGATGGCTTCCTCTTCATGGCCTCTGTCTGAGCTTTGCAAACTAGTCATTTTTTATCCAATTTTCAGTACTCATGCAGAAAATTTCATTCAACTGAATTCAACTGACAGTTCATTTGTGTAAGCGTTGGGTTTGTTAGCTCTGTTAGCAATTGTCCTACATCTTCGTGCTCCTCTAAACGAGTGACTTGAGCCCAAGTACACCTTACGATCATTTCCCATGTTTTTTACCTGCAGTCAAACTAAATTATCGGTCATGTGTGATAATAATATACATAAATTCACAACTATCAACTTCGCAATGTTTTCAACATTCTTACTAATGATTAGTTGTATCTTCTCAAATAAATTAAGTAAATTTCAATAACGGCAGTCATTTCCAATCCATCGCCTAATCTAAGTTGCAAAATTTAGCAATCCAGTAATAGGGCTGCAAGTGAGATGATGAACTACAAATTTCTTTAATAAAAATAACAAATAAAAATAAAATGAAAGAAGGTAGACTATATATGAAAGTTCGTGAAATCATAACTTGTGTGGTTTCAGTTTTTGAAACCTTTCTCTTTTTTTTTTGTGTGGTGTTTTTCTGTCATTTTTGTCAAATTCTTTTAGTAGATGCAGCTAAATTTTTTTATATTTACTCATAAAGATTTTACTTTTTAGCTGCATCTAGGCTGAAATTTGGAATTAATTAAAGAAAAATAAAAAATAAAACAAAAAACTTAAAAACAAATTTTGAGTTTCAAAACCAAACAAGATAAATTTAATCTTAATTTTTGGTAATTTTCTACAACTTTTTACCTCTTTGGAACCATGATCTCCGAACTGCCTGGCGGATGTGCCGCTCATGCCTCTCTAAGAGCTCATCGACTCTATGTGATTGAGACAACAAGGGTCCTGAAAACTCAACCTTGTCTCCTTGATCCTGATAAACCTGAGTCGAGTTTAATGTGAAGAATATTAGCGAAATTGAGAAGAGATCAAGAATTTAAATAATTATATCTTTTTTCCCCTTTTTGTGAAAACGTCAGCTTTTTATGCATTATGCAAATACAACTAAATCACATTAAATCGTAGTGAATTGCAATGATTGTAGTGGATCACTATTGAATCGTACGATTCACTCAATTTAAGATTTAAAAATAGAAATCAGATCATTTTTGTTGAAACTCAAATCAAATCGTAAATCAAATTGTGAATCATAAGGTTCTAATAACCATTGCCATATAGAAGTTTGACGGTCTCTAGCTTCGTTAGGAAATTGTAGTACTAAAACCAAAATTAAAGTTGAAATTGATATCAAAATTAAAAATCACAAAATGTTGTCAAAAGTATGAACTTACCAAGCTCATCCTCTTAGTTGCCATCTCCTCTCTTTGATATAGTGCCAACGACAATTCTTGCGAGTGGTACCCGTCAGAAGCATCGAAAGAATCTGGACGTTCTAATTGGCTCCAATTTTTTAGCATAAAGGTTCGGGATTTCCGAGACTAAAGTCTGGTTTAAATACCCAGGGGTGTATCCCCGGCTTGAAATCTGTATGGTAGCCCCATAGATTGAGATAGCGTGTATGCACCTCAATTCTGGATACTGAACCAACCTAGTCTGTCACCCCGTTGGAGAATAGGGAAAGTTGTGAACATGGCCGGGAAAGAAAGGTAGTAACTGCGTTTTGGAAGTATAAGCAAGAGAAACCAACTTTTCAGCTCAAATTGTTTCTGCGGAATTTTTAATTCATGTCTTCGATGCGTAGCTCATCGTCAGTTGGCATGGACAAGGTGTATCCTTTTGAAATATATTGTGACCCCTCCGAGAGGTAAATCAGAGGTTATGTTTGAATTGATCTTGTTAAGGCTTGTATTCCCTTATTCGGCATTTTGTTTCAAATATGCGTTGTCACGCACGTTCCACTTGCATTGTGATGTACGTTCCAATTGCATTGTTATGCACTCACTTCACTTGCATTGTGATGCACATTCCAATTGTATTGTTATGCACCCACTTCACTAGCATTGTTACGCTCATTCATTGCATTGATTTTGCACATCTATCTAGCAATGTCGCGCTCATTACTTACATTGTTATACACCTTTTCACTTGCAATTATCATTCTTTCTCCTCGCGCGTGCGACGGGTTAGACCTTCTCTGGTTAAGAGCATTTGGAATACGTTTCAATGCTCACACCATTCTGAAACACCGGGATACGTCCCTATGTTTCTCTCTCTTTTCGAAACACCGGGATACGTCCCTACGTTTCTCTCTTTCCGAAACACCGAGATACGTCCCTACATTTCTCTCTTTTTCCGAAACACCGGGATACGTCCCTATGTTTCTCTCTCTTTTCGAAACACCGGGATACGTCCTTATGTTTCTCTCTCTTTTCCGAAGCAACGAGATACGTCCCTATATTTCTTCTTCCTTTCCGAAACACCGGGATACGTCCCTATGTTTCTCTCTCTTTTCGAAACACCAGGATTCCCTATGTTTCTCTCTCTTTTCCGAAGCACCGGGATACGTCCCTATGTTTCTTCTTCCATTCCGAAACAACGGGATACGTCCCTATGTTTCTCCTACTGTTCCAAAGCGCCGGGATACGTCCCTATGTTTCTTCTTCTATTCCGAAACAACGGGATACGTCCCTATGTTTCTCTTTCCATTCCGAAACAACGGGATACGTCCCTATGTTTCTCTTTCACTTCCGAAACAACGGGATACGTCCCTAACCTTTGGGATACGTCCCTAATCCTCGGGATACGTCCCTATGTCTCTCCCTCTTCGGTTAAAAGCGTTCGGAATACGTTCCAAAGCTCACACCATTCCGAAACACCGGGATATGTCCCTATGTTTCTCCCTGTCCCATTTCCCCACACGATTTCAGTGTGTTTGGAATTCATCTTAGGTTGCATTGTCATGCACACCTCTTCACTTGCGTTGTCACGCACATTCCACTTGCATTTTTTTTATCAAACCGGCTTCGCGAAAGCGTATAAGTCCAATTACAAGCTGGCTTCGCGTAGCGTATAAGTCCAATTATCAAAATCTTCCTGCATATCATTTGCATACTGCCCCTGAACTACGCTGGTTTGATTGCTTGCAAAGGGATACATAGGCATCCTGCGGGCACAACCATTCATTCATTTGTATTTTGTTTGTTTGTCCAAGTCTTCGGCCTTATCAAAAATGGGTCGTCTCTGGGCTTTGACATTCACTCCCGTCATTGTTATGACTTTCGAGTTCTGTCAAAGAGGGGTAACTGTAGACACTCCATTTTTGACCGTCCTCAAGACTTGGACGTCACCGTTGAAACACTCGGTGATCATCCGTGCCTGTGTTCGTCTCGAGTTCCCGGAGGTTTCGGCTGCGCGCCTCGCCTCAGGATCTCTCGACTCGACTTTTCAGTGTCTGGTTTTGCACCAAACACTTGTGTTTTTTCCTTGAAAGGCAGGGAATGGCTTGTTGGCCATTCCCACATCCCACCGACTGTCCCCTCACATTACCGGCCATTTATTGGTGCCACCAGCAGTGGTTTCTTAAAACCAATGGCCGGTTGGCACTATATTTTGCCGACCGGCACTTTGTTTTGGCCGGTGACCTTTTTTTGTTGGCCGATCTGCACCCTTTGCACCCTTCAGGTATGGTGCATGCCAGCTGTGCCAGCTGGAATGCACCATCACTCCTCCCCATGCACGGGGATGGCCACTTTGCACCCTTGACCCCTTTTTCATTCTAGAAGGTTGAACCCTTTGGTCAAGCTTCCTCAAGAAGCTTGGCCAGCTGTCTTAGCTTCCTCAAGAAGCCTTGACTCCTTCGCCCCCTTTGCTCCTTTCATTTAGCTTCTTTGAGAAGCTTAAACCATTTCCCTTTGCCTATTTAAGCACCTCTCTTCTTCCATTGTTGGGGGTTGGAGTTTTGAACATAAAAACCAGAGCTTATATACATATACATCTGATATATACACACTCTCTCTCTCTATATTTCCCTCTCTTTCCTCCCTTGTGTGTGTTTTCTTGGCCTAAAAGTGCATTTTTACCTTACTTTTGCACTAATACACAAGCCATTACACCTTGCTCCGAGATTGAGAGGCATTGAGGGTTGTTTTTTGAGATTTTGGACTGATTTTGCTCAGTAGAGTGTGGCTGGACCAACTATTCTTGAAGTGTTCTTCAAGGGTGAGTTTCTTGCTTTATTTTTCCCAATCTTGCATTAGCTTTTGACCTATCTTGCATATTGATTTGAGCTTTGTGTATAACTAAAAAAGGTCTTATATTTTCCTGCTTAAGAACTTTCATTAAGGGTGTTTTGGCATTGGGGGTCGAAATCCCCCTCTTAGGTCTCTTTTGGCCCCTTTTGGTGCATTTTTCTTTAAGCCTTATTTGCTTTGTTGTATCAGCCTCCCCACCACTGAAATCCAGTGGATTTTCAGTGGTGAAGAAGATGGTTTGAAGTCTTGTATAGGGGAGGGACACCCCTCTCCCTTTGTGTCTCATTTGTGCATGTTTTGGGCTCATAAAGGTAGCATATATGCTTGGTTGTTTTTGACTCCATATCAGATGTTTTTGGTGCTATTTAGGTCACATGTTATCTCTGTTTTTGGTCAGATTGGTGGCCCTTTGCATGCTTAACATACTTGCTTTGTATTCCCTTGTTTGTGCCTAGAAATGCATCATGACTTTTGATTACCATGCTCTCATACTTTGGCTTCACTTTGTGAAGTCCTTGACCACATTTTGTCATGCATGAGGTCTGTTGGCCACTGATTTGGTCTTGTTTATCATGCTTGATATAGTTGCTTTGCAATTTGGATCATGAGCCTTGAGGGTATGGGTCATGAACATGCATTGGTTAGGCTATTTCGGTGATTTGGAATCACTTAGCATATCATTTCAGTCCCTAAACCATGCTTGTATACTTGCATTCATCGTTCCTCTCATGCTTTGAAGTTGTACCCTCTTATGTCTTGAAACGTGCATTGTGTATGCCTAGGTGTTTGTTTCATTTGGGATGCCATATGTGTGGGTTTTGGAGCTCTTTTGCATGCTAAAATTCTGTTTTTGGTTGTATAGTTCATGCCATGTTTGTTTAGGTTAGTGGTGGTGGAATGCCCTTTGTTATGCTTTAGCTTTGGCCCCTCTTTTGGCTTGCATGTTTGTAGTGCATTTTGTCCATCACTTGAGGCACTTTTAGCCACTGTTTTTGGGGGTGTTTGAGGCCTCCCATTTCAGTCTAAGTCCCTTCTTGGACATGGTTGTATGTTTGACTTGTTGACTCTAATTGCATGCGTGCATTGTACCATATTAGCATTACGTGATGAGTTGCATTGTAGCATTGCATATTAGGAACATTATATGCTTGCCATGATATGTTGCATTACATTTGGCATGCCTTGCTTTTTTTTTTGTGATATGTTGCATTTTCGAGCCATGTTTGCATAACATGCATTGCATTGCTTGGTTTGGGGTGTCAAACCAAGTGTGAGGGTTAAGAAGTGTTCATACTACGAGTGATGTAACACGCCTTAACTCTCAGTCACCGAGACCCTTGACCTTGACATGATAGGGTCTTGGTCTTCATTCGTGTGTTGCATGCATTTTCATCGAATCGCAACCTTGGCTCCTTAGGCCATGACGCATCAAAATGCATGATTGATGGCCCGAGGGTCGAGGGTCATGCTCCCTTAAGTCCCTTGCATGATAGGGAGTGTGCCCGGGCATACATTTGCTTGAAATTCCATGCCATACACTGTCTATTCTTGTTGCTGTCAAAAACCAGTTTCTGCAGGGAGTTCTTGCCGATCGGCACTGTAGAGTGCCAACCGGCCATGGATTGGTGGCCGATAATATGAAACCCCAGCCGATGGATAAGTTCCATGGCCGGTGTGTATTCCCTTCAGCCGATGATGTCCTACAGGGTTCAGGGAACCTGTCCCAGGATTTTGGCAGTTTTCAGAGAAGCAGGGCAGTGTAAACAGAGGCAGCAGTGGTATGGTACGGGCTTTCGGGGCAAGATAAATTCGAGCATGCATCATTCACGCATCCCGAGACGGGAGCTGCGGCCATCTTCTCTTTGCATTTAATTTGTTAATTAGATTAGAAATTTTGTAATAATTAATTTAGTATTATTTATTCGGACTGTAATATTTATTCGGACCCTCCGAGCGAGGGCAATTGTGTAATAAGTGTGCGTGAGTGTGTGTATGTCTTCCAACCCCATGTCTTTCTTCCCTTTTATTTACCCGCTTATGATGGTAGGCTAGGGCATATTTAAATTAGCATACCTTATTCTTAGCATGCGTGCATCCATACACTTGTCTTACATGCACCAGACTCGGTACATCACGCTAACTGCACTCGTATTTCAATTCCAAGTTGAGTATTTGTTAGTTACAGCATTTCACATGCCATGTTTAGGATAGTCGAGCCTGTTTTGGATTGCATCTTTGCATGTGTTGCATTAGCCATTTCAAATATGAA